TAAGGATCTTAATCTCGTTTTTGATTCTATGCAATACACTAAACAAGGAATAGGTTTTAGGAAGATTGATGAACCTAAAAATAAAGAAAAAGTTGAGCACAACCGTAAACCACCTAGAGCTCAACCTAAGAAAGATAAAAATAAAAATAATAGACAACCTAAACAAAAGGTTAGTCATGAACACAAGCACTCTAGGCAATCTAGGAGGAATTATCAAAATGATTTTATGGACACAAATAATTTTTCAAATAGACAAAATAATGCTAGAACACCTAGAAGAGAGAATCTTCAAAATACCCAAAAACTAATATTTTATCAAAATAGAATGAATATGGTTAGAACCCCTAGCTATTACCAACCTAGGCATATGTTCAACCCAAATGTAGTATGCCATTATTGCAATAGGGTAGGACATATAGCTCCCGTGTGTTTTACCAAACATAGGAACTCCACCTATAACGAAACACACAACATTTTTGGTGCTAATGAAAAGAATTCCTTTAGAGAAGGATATTCGTATCATAGGCAATCTCCATAGGAAAGTGCACAAAAGAAACCGTATTATTTCTTCTACTTTGACGAAAAGAAGAAAGTCCACATTCCGTTACCGGAACCAACACAGACCACACCGAGGTATCGGCACTCTGTTCGGGTAGACTGGAACCCGCCAACCACGAGACCATGGGTTGGCCAAGGTATTTCCTAAACAATCATTTAATTGTGTGTGTGTGTGTGTGCGAATTTTGGGTGTGTGTGTGGGCAATAAAGGTCAACTAACCACCAAGGACCCATAGACATACCTTGGGTACCAAAGTGTTTTTTTTTGCAGGGACGGTTCAAAGTGAAGAATTCTGGAAATCAGGGGGAACTAGCGATGGGTGAGCTACACCATCGCTGGGAGGGAAGTTTTCTTTTTTTTCAGAACCCCTCTTCCCATCGCTGGGTGAAGGACTTTTGTCAAAAATTTTTTTTTTTCAGAAACACCCGACCCATCGATGGGTTCTTTATCCCATCGCTGGGTTAGCGATTTCAGCTTCAAAATTTTTCCAGAACCTCCCTACCCATCGATGGGGACTTTCTCCCATCGCTGGGTGTTTGTCACTATTTTTTTTAAAGGCTTTAACGGCTTTCCAGAATCCACCTTCCCATCGATGGGAGAATCCACACATCGCTGGGAAGGCAGTCTGATTTTCTCCATCGCTTTCCAGTAGCGACCTTCCCATCGATGGGTAGATCCTACCATCGCTGGGAAGGCGGTTACAGTTCAAATTTTCAGAACCGTTGGAACCACAATAAATGGCCCAACAGCTACTTTTTTCAAATTTCAAACGGTTTTCACTTCTCTCCTATAAATACACATCATATTCTATCATTCCTAATCACAATTTCCATCCATATTTCAATCTCCTAACCAAATTTCACTCTCTTCTCTACAAAAACGCTTCAATCATGGCCGGAGGAAAGTCCAAGAGCAAGGCCTCCAAGAAGAAGGGCAACGTCGAAACAACGTCCTCTGCGCCCCAGCCGTTTCCGTACCTGGACGGATCCTTCTTGGAGTTCGGGTCGGAAGAGGAACTCACACGCTTCATCACCTACTTCGCCAAGCGTCCCATCTCACCGCCAAGGGTGCTGCCCGAGCTGTTCCCTCAACAGAAGGGATACTATGACCTTGACAATCAACTCAAGGAGTCGGGTTTGTGGCCCTTTGTCTCCAGGAATCGCACCG